TCGATTTTAAATTTTTCGTTTGTACTGTTCTTTATATTTTCAATCTACGATGTTTCAGTTTTTCGATTTTCCAATTTTTGAATCTTTCAATTTTGTAATTTTTGGATTATTCAATTATCCTATTTTTTGATTTCTTTAATTTTTAATACTTCGATTTTTAATTTTTTTGTTTTTTCGATTTTTAAGTTTTCAATTTTTTAAATGCTTTGTCCGGATTTTTTTATTTTTATTTTCTCGATTTTATATCACAATTTTGCTTTTTTCAGTTGATTTATTTTTTCGATTTAAAATTTTTCGTTTATACTATTCTTCAAATTTTCAATCTACGATGTTTCAGTTCCTCGATTTTTCAATTTTTGATTCTTTCAATTTTGTAATTTTTGGATTTCTCAATTATCCTATATTTCGATTTCTTTAGTTTTCAATATTTCGATTTTTTAAAATTTCGTTTTTTCGATTTTTAAGTTTTTCAATTTTTAATATTTCGATTTTTCAATCTTTCGTTTCTTCAATTTTTCATGTTCGTGACTTCCTTCTTGGAATTTTCGAAAAAATTTCATTTTAAAGTTTTTCGTTTTTTTTTATTTTCGATTTTTCAATTTTTCGTTTTTTCGAAAATTCCAAAAATTCGATAACTACATAGAAAAGTATAAAAAACTTAATAGAAATTTATAAAAGATATAAATACTTCATAATGCCGAAAATTAGAAAAGTTCTAATAATTTCAAAATTATAACATTTTAAAACTTGCAAAAATCTATTGGAAGTAGAAATTGGAGTTCATGGACTGCAAAAATAGTAAAAACGCTTGAAATCTTAGAAATTTCTAAACAATTTTAGAAAATTCAGTACATCTAACACTTTAAACAAAACTGCGAAATTCTCAAAATCCAAAAATTCTAAGAATTCTCGAATTAAAACACCTGTAAGCTTCAGAAATCTCAAAAATTCCGACAATTCCAAATTCAATGAATCAAAAAATTCTAAAAGCTTTAAATACTACAAATTCCAATACGGTTCATATTATCCAGAGACTTAAACAATTCCAAAAATTGCCAAAATTACAAACAATATTGCAAGTTTTTGATTTCCAATTTTTAGATTTTTCAGTTTTCTTTCAAACTTTTCCTTTTTTTTTTTAATTTATGAATTTTTAATTCAACAATTTTGCTATTTTTCCATTTCTTTGAGACGAAAAATTAAAAAGCGAAAAACTGAAAAAACGAAATATTGGAAATCCCAAAAATTGTGAAATATAAAAATTATAAAATCGTCAAAATTGTTAAGTCGAAAAACAGTAACATTCAAACATCGAAAAATTTAAAAAATTAAAATTCTAAAATTGAAAACCGAATAATTAAAAAAATTATAAAATCGAATAACTAAAATCATATTTTGGGTAAAATTTATTCGGCAAAATTTTGAGATGACGTCATCAATTTTTTCGGGGAATAAACAGATATATTTTGATAAACAATTTACCATGGCATTAATTTATTTTTTCAGTTTAAAATTTTTCGTTTATTCAATCTTCAAATTTTCAATTTACGATTTTTACTTCCTCGATTTTCCAATTTTTGAATTTTTCAATTTTGTAATTTTTGGAATTCCCAATTATCCAATTTTTTTATTTCCTTAATTTTAAATACTTCGATTTTATAATTTTTTTTTTCAATTTTACAGATTTTCGATTTTTAAGTTCTCCAATTTTTAATGTTTTGATTTTTTAATTTTTTATTGTTCAACTTGTCAAGTGCTTGTTTTTCATTTTTCATTGTCGGGATTTTTTAATTTTCATTTTCTCAATTTTATATCACAATTTTTCGTTTTTCACTGAATTTATTTTTTCGATTTTAAATTTTTCATCTACCATTTTTCAGTTCCTCGATTTTTCAATTTTTGAATCTTTCAATGTCGTAATTTTTGGATTCTCAATTATTTTATTTTTTGATATTTCGTTTTTCGATTTTTAAGTTTTTCAATTTTTATGATTTTGATTTTTCAATATTTCGTTTCTTTAGTTTTTCATGTGCTTGATTTCCTTCTTGCGATTCTTCAAAATTTTCATTTTAAAATTTTTCGTTTTCCTTATTTTCGATTTTTCAATTTTTCGTTTCTTCGAGAATTCCAAAAATTCGATAACTACATAGAAAAGTCCAAAAAACTTAAAAAAAATAGAAAAAATATAAATACTTCATAATGCCGAAAATTAGAAAAGTTCTAATAATTCCAAAATCATAACATTTTACAACTTGCAAAAATCTATTCGAAGTAGAAATTAGAGTTCATGGACTCCAAAAGTAGTAAAAATGCTTGAAATTTTGGAAATTTCTAAACAATTCTAGAAAATTCAGAACTTCCAACACTTTAAAGAGAACTGTGAAATTCTCAAAATCTGGAAGTTCCAAAAATGTCAAAAATTCTAAGAATTCTCGAATTAAAACACCTGTAAGCTTCAGAAATCTCAACAATTCCGATAATTCCAAATTCAATATACCAAAAATTTCTAAAAGCTTTAAAGACTACAAATTCCTGAAACACCATAATGCCACAAATTACAATAAAGTTCATATTATCCAAAAATCCAGAGACTTAAACAATTCCAAAAATTGTCAAAATTACAAACAATTTTTCAAGTTTTTGATTCCCAATTTTTAGTTTTTTCCAACTTTTCATTTTAAACTTTTTCGTTTTTGTTAATTTTTGATTTTTCAATTCAACAATTTTGCAATTTTTCCATTTATTTGAGATGAAAAGTTGAAAAATAGAAAAACTGAAAAAACCAAAATTTGCAAAATCGAAAAATTGGAAATCCTAAAAATTGGAAAATCGAAAAATTATAGAATCGTCAAAATTGTTAAATCGAAAAACAATGACATTCAAAGATGGAAAAAGGAAAAAGTGAAAAATTATTACATACATATTTAAAATGAAAACCAGAAAAATTGCAAATCAAAAATTGAAGAAACGAAAAACTGAAAAATCGAAGAACTGAAAATTCTAAAATTGAAAAGGTGAATAATTAAAAAATTGTAAAATCGAATAACTAAAATCATATTTTGACATGAGGTCATCAATTTTTTGGGATTGATAAACAGACAGATTTACTTAAAAAGTTCTGCAAGATTTCAAAGTATTCAGTTTTGCAATTCTTGATTTATTCAATAAAATAAATTGACTCAGTCATTAATTTTTTTGAGACACCCTGTTTAAGCAAATCTAAAAAATATTAATGCAGTGACAGACAGACGGACAGAGAGACGGAAACGAAAGACCTATTTCTTCGTATTTTCGGTTTCCGTCTATTTATCTGTCGTCGGTGTCCATGTGGCTATTTTATTAGAAAAATAGAATCTGAAACTACTAGACGAAAACACAAGTAAGATCGTGAAATTGATTAAACGATTACAAAACACCGACTAAAATTTATCTTCAAAATTTCATGTCGTCTCCGAAAATTATTAAGTAAGTGTTTATTAAAAATGAGGATTGTTTCAAAAAGATAATACAAACAATGGAGACAAGTTAGACAAGAATACGCAGTTTTATTTCACAGAAATCTACAGTATTTAACCTTTACATTGCACTATCAGGACTCCGTCTGACCGATAAAGGGCACAAATAAATTTAGTTAAATAATATGTGACGATGTACAAATTTGAACACGCAGCCGGCCATAACTAAAGTATGTCGCGAACCATGACACTAGAGTTTCACAGATATCTTAATAACTTAACAATAATGACATTTATCAGCTATTTCGCAATTAAGTAAATTAATACATGGCACGCATTACTAATTCCATAGATACCCATTAACACAATTTTAATTCATGGTACGCAATGCCTTTTAAAGCAGTTGTTATCTTACACTTCGTTTATTTTAGTAAGCTGACAGCAGATTTTAAGTTATTTTGAATTTGTGGAATTTTGAGCTGCAGAAATTTAAAAGGATGACACTGGAATTAATTTTGACGAGATTTAAAAGATTGTTATCTTGTTTCTGTCTACTTCTATCCAATTTGTCTTTGTACTCGTTTTTATCACATTTCGATAGTGTTTTCTGAGAATGACTCAGTTAGTTCTGGTAAGCATATCTGAAGACCGTTGATAAACTTACCAAGATTTATTGCCCGACATCTACGCAAATATGTACTTCAAAGAGTGCTAAATTATTAGTATTATCTTAGGTTACTTAAAAATAGACAACTTTTTTTGTCAAATCGCTCTGTATTTTTTGAAAATACCGACGCGTTTCGTTAACAAAATTCTGATCTATAACTGGAAGCGAAAATTTTGAAAATCAATATGACACACGTAATAATATTACTTAAGTTTGAAATTTATTGTATCAATAAAAATCTTTTGATAAACTAAAAGGAAAACCCCAACTGATAATGCGTTTGAAGCTTCTAAGAAATTTATTTCGAAAGTCCAGTTTTCAAATTTCCATTATATTGTATTTCACATTTCAGTTTGTCAAAAAAATGCAAAGTACCTCATGAGTTCTTTTTCAAAAAAATCAGTTGCCCTTCTATGTCTGAAAAATGTTTCTTAATATAAAATCAAAAGCCAAAATGAGTTGTCTTTTTTTTACAGCTACCAATAGACCCGATGTTTAAGACAAATAATAATAGGTGTGATTTTTATTTCATCATCTCTATTATTTCATTTTACACATACTTGAAAACTACTTGTGTACGATTTTAAAATTCTACGCAATTAAACCGCAGACACATGAAGTGTCCACCTTTTCCATGTTTACTCCACCGATAAACTTAAATTATCAGCGTCTGCACTCTATTTAATCAAAAATTTGCCCGTGTCAACAACCAAACTCCACAAAATGCACAAAATGCACAAAATGCACTCGATGCAGCCTGATGCAACAATCCCATTCAAAAACCCATCCGCAGCGAAATGGTAAAACCGCGCTTAATTACATCATCCAACCGCTTACGGAAACCTAACATCTAATTTCATCAGATTAACATTCATTAAAAACCGTCTACCTCAAAGTATCGCAAGTCGATCACGGTACTTTCCCTGCCTCACTTCGCACATATCACCATACGTAGTAGATAAAGACGGAAAACAACTAATAGTGGTGATAATACCTCCAGATAAAATTAATTTTAGTCCGGAAGATTTACATATAAGTGGCAACGACTTGACAGCTCTGATCATTTGCTCTTCGACTTTTATTCGCGGTGGTTAACCTCCGATTTTCACGAATTTTTCCAATTTTCTCGAGTGCTAGAAAATGCGTGTCGCTATCATTGGTGCCGGTGCCGCTGGTTTGGCCTCCGCAAGACGTGTGAGTGCCCTAGGGATCGACTGCGAGGTCCTGGAGATGGCACCCCAGTTGGGGGGGACATGGGTCTACACTGACGAAGTCGGGGAGGACCGGTATGGGTTCCCTGTCTACTCTGCTATGTACAAGGGCCTAAGGTAAGTCTCGTTGTGGTAGTTTCCAATCCTAATCAAAATTATCGCTTCTGTTGCATCAGTACGGTTTACTTTGTGGAATTATGTCACAGCGATAATTCGACATAGTTTGGAAAAATCGTTTTTTAAAGTTCCGTAAACACAGAAATTCCGATACCAATTCGATCAACTGAAGGCGTATTGACCCCAGATAATTCTCCAGCAGTTCAACTTGTCCTGATCTTTGACACTTTTTTTTTTCATTTTTGGAATGACTTAGACATTGATAAATTTCTTCACTAACGCCCTTCATTAAATTACGAATTCATGCTTACGCGGATGAGAAAAATTCCGTAAATTACAAAATCAATCACGTGCTTATGTAATTAATCAAAGTAAGGTTCAAATTGCATTGTTCGAGTCATTTATCATTAAAATAAAATTGTTTTAAAAAGATGTAGGTCAGGTTGTAATCAAATGGTCATTAGCTGCAACATCGATCGGTTTCTGATTAATGCGGAAATATACAGGGTGGTCTAACGAAAGCGGTTTTCCAGAACCAACTTACCCAAAGAGGTGATGGGCTATCCCGACTTCCCCATACCAGAGCAGAACAGGTCGTACTTAACTCAGGCCGAAATTTTGGAGTTTTTGAACCTGTATGCCGACCACTTCAAAATAAGGAAATTAATCAAGGTAGGTGACTTATTATTATTATTGTAATTCCAACGTTTCAATCAAGTAGCAATCCGGATGTACATTATCATTTCCAACTTCACCACAAAGACCACTATCGACATGGTATTTCAGTGACCAAATGGTTGCAAAAATACCAATGTGGTACTGATTTCGTCAAACTGCTTTATCACGCAATTTTCCAGTCCATAATTTTTCCTCTTTCTAGTTCAACCGCATGGTGGCTGAAATAACCCCGCTGGAAGACAAGTGGCAAATCAAGTCCATCGACAAACCCACCAAGCAACCAATCGTGGAAACCTACGACGCCGTGATGATCTGCAACGGCCACTACAACGACCCCATCATGCCCCAGATCCCCGGACAGGAAGTCTTCAAAGGAACCATCGCCCACAGCCACCAGTACCGCTCGCCCGAGCCCTTCAAAAACCAACGAGTGCTCGTGGTGGGTGCCGGCCCCTCAGGCCTAGACCTAGCCCTCCAAATCTCCTCCAACGCCAAGTACGTGGTACTTAGCCACCACACCAAAGAAGCCGTCAACACCAAGTACCCGGCTAACGTATCCAAGAAACCCGATGTTCTCCGCGTTAAGGACGACGAAGAGCTGGAATTCGTCGACGGTTCTTGTTGTCGCTTCGACACGATACTCTACTGCACCGGTTACAGATACAACTTCCCTTTCCTGCACGAATCGTGCGGAGTAACCGTTGATGAGAACCATATTCAACCTCTGTACAAGCATATGATACATATAGAAAGACCGAGTATGTGCTTCATTGGAATACCGTTCAACGTGTGTGCGTTCCAGATGTTCGATCTTCAGGTACGACCTCACGGGTTTATTTGTGTCCTAGTACTAGCTTGATTTTTGATTTCTAGGCCCGTTTCTTCTGTCAGTACCTCAACGGGTCAATGCCGCTGCCTTCCAAGGATATGATGCGGATGGACACGGACAACGATATGCAGAACCGCTGGGCTAAGGGATACACCAAGAGACAAGCACACATGATGGGTCCCGACCAACAAGGTTACTATGAAGATTTGGCTTCAGCGGCTAATACTACTCCCATTGCTCCAGTGATTGTCAAGCTGAGGGATCAAAGTGTGAAGAGGTTATACGATGATCTTCTCAATTTCAGGGAGGACAGATATAAGATTGTCAATAATGAAACGTTCGTCAAAGTTCATTGAAAGGGGTGGTTCTTTGTTGGGAGGACAAGTGATGCGCCGATGTAGCGCCTGGTAGTTCTACTTACGAACTAAGGCTTTGATAGCCGTTTGCGGTGTGAGTAAAGACTAAAAGATTGAAACCGTTTCGAAGGTGAAAATAATATGTATTAATTTTTATTTATTAGTGCTTACGTTTATAGAAAACACTATTTTGATAGTCTATTTAAGGCAAATGCTTTTATAGTATTTAGGTGAATAAAATGGTAATATAATCTGTTGTCTTTCAATTCGCTGAATTAACTTATAGTTTTTCCCAGTTTTGGTCGTCAATAATTCTAAATCTATCATTTATGTTTCGGTGCGTCCTCACGTAGATGAGTAATTTTGTTATAACGGGTGATATCCTTTTAATGTTTGCCTCTATTGCCAGTTCTTCGAAATAATCTCCCGTTGCTTCACACAGAACGTGATATTTATGTATAGATCTAGACGACATTTTGGCAACTGCGCGGTTAAGATCTTGTAACATAGTCTTCTTCAGTGGTAATTGATAGTGTCCACTAAGACTTGACAAGAAAAAGCGAACCTAAAAAAGAACTTGTACCAAGTGAACAAAGTTCTATTCTTGTACCTGTATGTCAAAAAGAGGAAAATAGCACGTTAGTAGCGGTAGTCCAATAAATGCTAGCATGGGGTGTTCTATGCTAACTATTTGTTTATATAGAGGATGGACGTAGTTTTCTGTGACATTAACGCCACACTTGCTGGATAAAAAAGGAAAATTATATTTGTATCCTGTGCAATAAAGGATATCATCGATTTCTGCACTTGTCCCGTCTTTAAAGACTGCCATGTTTCCATCCATTTTGGTTACTAGAGGCTTTTGGTGTATGTAATTTGCGAGCGGAAAAAAAGGTTCTGATTTACAACTTACATAAACCTGAATAAATATGTGTCAAAATGAGAAACGGAAAAGTTTGCTCTTACTTTTTTCGCTACGAACCCAATTCTGCCCGAAATGTCACAACCAGAAGTACCCGCACCTATAACTAAAACTCTTTTGTCTTTATAGATGTCATAAGTTCGATAATCACGACTGTGGCTAACACTTCCTTGAAAGTTACAAATTCCAGGTATGTCTGGAATAACTGCCTCACTACAGTGGCCATTGCAGACCATAACTGCATCATAACACCGAACTTCTTTGCGTTTATTTCTAACATCTTCGATTTCGATCAACCAGGTGTCCTCTTGGGGTTCGACATTAAGAACTCGTTTAAAGAACTGCAACATGAGAGTTTGTATCTTTACATTTTGAAATAATAAAGACTACTTTGATATGGTTTCCAAGACGAAATTTTTTGGCATAACACTTAATATAATCAAGAACTTGTTTTTGCGATATGTAGGATTCGAAGTAATTCGGGTACGCAAAATCCTCGTAAGCCATAAGTTCTTTAGGTAAATTCGTTCTATGTGTAAAAATGAATTATTTTTCGGAATACTTACAGTAGAACTTCTACTTACGCTAAATCTTTGTACATTGAGGAATTCACTGGAATACCATTTTGATCCTCTGTGCTATCAACATAGTTCCACGTTCCTCCAACATCTCCAGTTTGTTCAAATATATCAAACGGAAATTTTTCTTCAAGACAGTGCCTTCCGGCACATAGACCTGCGGGTCCTGCCCCAATTATTGCAATGTTCATGGAAAAATTGACTTTGACGTGTGGAATCAAAACGCATTAAGACTGGTTTAAAATGTACAAAGGCAAAAATAAAAATGTTAAAGGCATACTTAGACTAACATGAAAATGCTCATGGTCACTGATACAAGTAACCGTGACCTCTTGCCAAATCATTACTTAAGGTAAGTAATGTAAACGTTTTTCGCCTATCAACAGCGTTAAGTGCGGAATTATGCAGCTGTTTACAAAATAAAGACGTAAAATTACAGATAAGTTATAAGTTACGTTCCTACAAAGTATACCATTTCGTCATATTGAAATAGAGTATACAGGCCAGTGCATGAGTAAGAGAGATACTAAAAGCTGTAAAATGAAAATAGTATTTTTCAGTGACGTCTTGACTTGTCAGATTATGTTTACATGGTCATTTATTTTGATTAACAATTACGTCACTGCGGGTTGTACTACTTGAAGACCAAATTGGGTTTCGATAAGTTGAAACTATTCCATAAACATCTTTTTCTGATGACGTTAGCAGTGGGATTTATAAACTTACTGCTGACGTTGAGGTTCCCGCTGACGTTGATTTTATTGCTGAAAATTGTCATTTATAAACTCCGTTGTCAAGTGGAAAATTGGAGGATTTAAGTCGATTACTACAAAAATTTACCATTTTAGACATGTTTTAAGTCTCTTGTTGTCGAAATAAAAGGCAAAATGTAGTACCGCCCACCCGCCCTATCTCACCTGTGATGATTTTTTTATTCGTCGTGAGCCAAGGGGAGGAGCTTAATAGCAAAATTCTTGTTTCTCTACAAGAAATAAAAACATGTTTTTGAGTATCGTGTTATTCAAACAATACTATGTATATTAAGAAAAAAACAAGCCAAAAATTAAGCCACACCCATTACCATGTCAGGCTCAATTGTGATGAATTTTTCATTCGTTGTCAAATCGAGGGGTGGAGCCTATTTGCAAAATCGATACTTTCTTACAAAAGTTTACCATTTTAAACATATTTTACCTTTCTTGTTGTGAAAAGAAGACTACAGATATTAAGAAAAAATGGCAAAATGTTTAACTTTCCTATTGTTGAAAAAAAAACTTTATTAAAAAAAACAAAGATAACGTTATTATAGCGTGCAATTATTTTTGCAAAGATTTGAACGTTAAGCGAAAAAAGCAGATTCGTATACAACAAGTGTCATTGAGATGACGTCATCAAATTGTTTTTATTTTATTTCTAACATACATACAAAATTTGACAACAATCGGTCCAGCAGTTTCGGAGATTACGTATCTAATAAAAATGGATACAGAGAGCCAGACAGACAGACGGAAACGGAAGACTAGTTTTTTCGTACTGTAGGGGTCATGAAACGTCGAGAAGATATAAAAGTGGCAATTCGTCCGATGGACTCGATTACTATACTTCCTTACTTGCAAAATTCGATTAATCGAGAAATGGAAAATTTAGACACGCCAAAAATCAACATTGGAAAATCGTAAAATGGAAATATTGGAAAATAAGGAGTAAAAAATTGAGAATTCGAAAATTTGATAAATTCGCGTTAATTGAAGAATCGAAAAATTAAAAATCGAGAACCTAACAATTGAAAAATCAATCAATAATTGAAATATAGCAGTTTGTGTGATTTTGAAAAAAAAAACTTGAGGTGATCGTAAACCGTCTTCAAAATCAAGATGTCTATGGTAAAATCGCAACACTCGAAAAATTCGAAAAAGTGAAGAATCAATTAACTGAAAAATTCTAAAACTTAAATAATTAAATATAAAAAAACTATGAAATCGGAAGTTGAAAAATCGAGGAACCAAAAAATCGAAATATCGAAAAATCGGGAAATACTTAGAACAGTCGAAACATCAAAACATTTTAACCAAAAATTGAAAAACTGGAAAATCTGAAACCGTGAGGTTCAAACATTGAAAGATCGAGAAATCGAGTCATTGAAAAATTTAAAAATTTGAAAATTAAAAATTACAAAAATAGAAAAATCGATTAATCGAAAAGTTGAGATAGAAAAATTTTAAATTTAAAAAACTGGCATGTCGAAAAATTGAAGAATGGAAAAATCGAAAAATGGAAATGTTGAAAAATCACAAAACTGAAAAATCGAAGAAAAATTAAAGAATCAAAAAATTGAAAAATCAAAAACCTGATAAATCAAACCATTGAAAAATTGAAAAACCGAAAAATTGACTAATTGACAAACTCAGAAATGGAGAAATGTCTTCAGATCAAAAAAGTTAAAACGATTATCGATCAATCGAAACATCGAAAAGTTAAAAAAAGAAATCGAAAATTTAGACACGGCAAAAATCGAAAAAATGAAAAATCGTAAAATGGAAATATTAGAAAATGTAAAGTCTAGAAAATGAAAAATTGAAGTGTTAAAAGTTAAACAAAAACTATCATAGAATTGAAAAATCCAAAAATGAAAAAATTTAAAAGAATCTTAAAACAGAAAAATAGAAAAAATCGAAAATTCAAAAACCTGAAAAATGAAAAATCAAAATACGAAGAATTAAAAAACGGAATAATCAGGAAATCTAAAAGTCGAAAAATCAAAAAATCAAGAAATAGAAAAGTTGAAACAGATTAATCGAGAAATCGAAGATTGAAAAATCGTAGGAAGGAAATATAGGAACATCGAGATATTTAAAAATTAAAACATCGAGAAATCGAAAGGAACATCAAAAGATCGAGAAATTGAACAAAAAGAAAATGAAAAACCGGAAAATTGAAAACTAGGAAATTTGAAGAACTGAAAAATGGCAATATTGATAAATCCCAAAACTGATACATCGAAAATTTGATAAAACTATAAATCGAAAAACTGAAAAATACAAGAAAAATTGAAAAATCGAAAACCTAAAAAATTTTCAAATCAAAAAATTGAAAAATCCAGAAATCGAAAATTAAGAAACGCCAAAAATTGAAAAATCGTAAAATTGCATCGAGAAATCGAAATATGTAGTGTAAAATTGATAAATTGGAAAATTTGAAATTCAAAAAATTGATAAATCGAAAGATGAAAAAAAAGAAAAATCAAAAAATTAGGAAATTGAGCAATTAAAAATCAAAACACCTAATGAAAGATCCCGAATCGAAAGAAAAAAAATTGAAAAATCTATAATTTAAAAAAATGCAAAACTTCAAAAAATTGTTATACTACAGATTTTGATTTTTTCCAAAAGAAATAAGTTGAATAATGGAGTACTGTTTTCGTACTGTGGTTTATAGGAACGATAAATTAATGGATTTAATCAGGTGCAAGTCGAAAAATAGATTAATCGAGAAACCGAAAAAAAAACGCCTAAGATTGGAAAATCGTAGGAAGGAAATATAGGAACATCGAGATATTTAAATATTAAAACATCGAGAAATCGAAAGAAACATCAAAAGATCGAGAAATTGAACAAAAAAAAATTGAAAACTAGGAAACTTGAGGATACTGAAAAATGGAAATATTGATAAATCCCAAAACTGATGCATCGAAAATTTGATAAAACTATAAATCGAAAAACTGAAAAATACAAGAAAAATTGAAAAATCGAAA